TACTCTTTTATCATTATGTTCACATTTGTCTCTGAGCAAATGATAAAAGGCTAATTGGTAACAGAACTATTACAAATTCTCCCTCGTTATTGATGTTTGTAGGGGTTTTTTTCTTGTTCATAAAAATTGATTTTATATTTGTTCTCTACACTTTTATTATTTAATATCAGTGACTTGTATATTCCAAAACATATTAAATACTCTTTCTCTTCTATTAAATAAGATTTTCTACCTAAAAATGCGCAGTCTAAAAATAATTTAAGTTTTTGTTTTTTATTTTATCTTTTTTCATTAAAAACACCATTTAATATTTAATTAAGGAAAAATTATTCTCAACTACACCAACTATTAACTAATATGTTGCAAACCATCCGAAGTGTTAAAATGTTCTCTAAACTACACATGCTTATATATAATACATAGTGACATATACGAACTATAAGTAAACATCTTAAAAACTACAAATTGAAGTTTTTGATAATTTTTATTCTATTTTGGGGTCAATCTCTAATTATTTTTTTTAAATTCATTTAAAAATCCAAAAAAGAATTAAAAACAAAAAAATCTGAAATATAGAAGAAAATTCATAAATTTTTTCAAAAAATTATATAAAATAATAATTTAATTTTTGATTAAAAAAACTAAAAATATTTTCAATTTAGAAATTTCAAAGTTATTTTTTGTAAAATCTCAAATTTCTAAATTAAAATAATCTGAAATTTAGAAAAAAAAATCTGGAATTTTAAATTTCTAAAATTACAAAAAATGATAAATTTCAAATACAACCAAAAAAATTCCAAAATATTACATTTACAAAAAAAAATTCCAAAAATTTACATTTTAATATATATATATATAATTAATTTTGGAAACCAAATTAAATTTGTAAAAATTCCAAAATTTAGCGACCTCTATGGAAATCCGCCAATCCTAAATTAAATTTTGGAAACCGTACGGTAACATAAATATAAATTTCTATAACAAAAATATATATTTTGGGGCAGTTACTAAAATGTCACTTTTGGTGTGTACATTTGCAAGAATGCCACTTAGGGGATTTGCAAAAATGCCACTAATTATAGATTTTTAAAACCTAAATCTTAAAATTATAAACCATAAAAAATGTTTTGACATCTAAAACCCCTTAAAACTTCAAAACAAACCCTAATACAACATAGTTAACCCAAATATAAATGATATAATAATTTTTTTTTAAAATGTAACATTTTTTCAAAGATTTTAAAAATGTGACATTTTTAAAAAGTGGCACTTGAAAAGTGGTATTTTTTACAATATCTCATATATTTTGGTAAATTTAAGATT